AACAAATAAAAATGGAAAATCCTTAAAACAACAAATATTAAAACAGTAAACTAGTCCTAAAAATAGCAAATTAGAAATAGTAACTAACTATTTAAAAACAACAAATACAAACAATAGAGTTTAAAGCTCAAAACAGCAAAAGTTCATCTACAGACAGCAAAATGAATACCAAACAGTACCCAAATATCAAGTACTACTTAGAAACCCAACTAGACTTCTAGGACCTAAGATACTATTGTCAAAACAGAGGAAACATCATGGATTTAAAAAAACACATGCATTAGACTCTAAAACAGTAAATTGGACAACAGACTATAAGCATAGTATTACCTTTTGCCCGAATAGCAAAACAAAGATCAAGAAGGACCTAAAAATCACACAACACTAAAAACAGCATAATACACATGACTAAGACATTTAAAGCAGTAAAAAACACTTATGCCTAAATAGTAATTAAAACAGTAAATTCTATGTATAAAAACAGCAAATCAGCAAAGGCTTTTAAAACAGCAAAATATACTGAGCTAAATGATCATGCATAAGGTTAAGAGTGTAGAACCTATCCTACTCAGACTGAGTAGAAGAGTCTAAATGCTGCAAGAGAATGGACTTAGGTGGAGGTAGGAGCTTAACTGCACTCTTTGACTTTCCATGCTTTGATGCAGCTCTAAGTATTCTCTCCTTCTGCATCTTGTACTCAGTCCATTGCACTCTCTCCCTCTTCAAAATGTCCACCTCCTTCTTCAAGTCATCCACCTTTTTCATCAGTTTGTGGTGTTTCTTCACAATTGTTTTCTTCAAAGCATTGGAGTGATCCTCCATGGCCTTCAATAATTCAGCCTTTAGGGCTGCCAATGAAGAAGTGGGTGCATCTGGCTGTACCTTGGCATTTACCCTCATCAGTCTATCCAAATTCTTTTTATCTATGGAGGTCTTCTCCATAGACATCACATCTTTGGGCAAGGCTAAGACTTGGGCCTTTTGCATAAGTCTGTGAATTAAGGAAGGGTATAGCAACTTGCCATTTGTCCTTTTCCACACATGCTTTGATGTTGGAGCATATCATCCTCCCAACATCAAATGGCCTAGCCTCTAAGATACAATAGAGAATCAAAACTCTTGCTAGGCATAAATTGGTGTCATGGCTAGTAGGGTGAATGGTGTGCCTCATGAAATAAAACCATAAATTGGCTTTAGGCTTCAAATATTGAGTTTTTAGAAGCCTAGCCCTACCCTTGAAAATCCAAACAGCCCCCTCCTTGGCTATCTTAGCTAAAATCACATCAAACTCCTCATCAGTGCACCCAGCTGTCAACCTATCTAGCTCAGAGTATGAAGGTGGTATGAGCTTTAGTAGGTCATTTATGGCATTGGGTGAATAGAAAACAAAAGTCTTTCTTACTCTCAGGTCTACCCCATCAGTGACTGCTACCTCAGTGTAAAACTCCCTAACCCAACTAAGATTGTATTGGTTAGGTGTGTCACATAGAATCTCCCAACCCAAGGAATCTATTGTGGCCTTGATGGAAGGATTGGCCAACAATAGTTGTGAAAAACCCTTTTGTACCACCCCTACCTTCTCAGAAAATTGCAAGTATGTTTTTCTTGCTAGGGGTGTGCTAAACAAATGCTTGGGTTTCAAAAAGATACCTGGCCCTTCCTCAAATTGTTGCTCTGGCCTCTTTCTTCTTCTTGATGCCCTTTCCTCAGTCTCTGATCTCTCACTGTCCTCTCTCCTTCTCTTTGAACTTCTGGTTTCAGTTCTGCCCATTCTCCTTTTCCTTGCCACTTTCTTTCTTAAACTTGCACCTGTATCAACCTCATCCCTTTCTTGCTCAACATATGGGTTGCTATGCTCAGGGCTATAATGAGCAAAATGTGCACCCTCATAATACTCATGAGTCCCAGAGTGTATAGGGCTAGTGGGTTGGTTTGGACTAGGGATGTGTGGTTGAGTGGAGTGGGGTGAGGGTGGTGGTGTTTGAGTGACAGGGGTGTTTTGTGGGTCAGAAGGGTCTTCATTGTGTTCAAAGGGTGTAAGGCTGGGATTAGTGGGTGAGAGACCCAAGACAAAGTCTAGTTCTTGGATGGACACAGTAGGTGGCAAAGGGATAACAGTTTCAGTAGGTGTAGATGGTGTGTTTGTGGGTTGGATTGGTGAAGGTATTGGGCTAGTAGTGATTGGTTCAACAGGGGGTGGTCTAGAAACTGTTTGGGATGTGGTTGGATGGTCAAATATGGTGGGTTCTATAGTAGATGATGAAACATGAATAGAGGTGAAATGTGGTGATTCCATGAAATTGAATTCAATAGGTATGTCTCTAGTGATAGTGGGTGTATGGGTGGTGGTAACAGGTGGTCGGACAGGGGATGGATCATACTCTGGTTCCCTCCTAATCATCCTATCTATGGCTACCAAAGCAGCACTAACAAAATGCTTAAGGGTTGAATTTCCCTTTTAGGTACTTGGGCAGCCATAGAAGGCTGAGTTTGGATCATGGCAATAGCAGGGGCACAAATTGTTGTCTTTAGCCCCAAAACTTCATTAGAGGCAACAATGGCCTCATCCACAGATTTCCTCAACATAAAGCCAACAATGGCTTGAGGGTATGCAGGAAAACTAGACAACAAATCCATAGTTAAGGGTCTAGTGATTCTCAAACCTGTTTGAAGCCTCTCTGTGATGCTTGGAGGTATGCTCTGAGTACTCACTTGTGTAGCTACATCTGCCAAAGTATTCAAAGAGGTTGAATCCTTTTGTGTTGGTCTGCTTGTACTTTCTTGAGCAACATGTCTCTCTGGTGGTGAATCACTATCATCAGATAGGTTGATCACAGTGCCCTTATTCTATTTAATGGGCTTGAAATTGGTCAGACCCTTTGCTCTGCTTCTGGTCATTCTAGGAGTAGCTTGATATTGTGGTTGTGGAGGAGGTTGTGGTTCAGTATTCACAACTCTTTGAGATTGAGTTCGAGGAGGTGGTTGGGGTTTGGATTTGGCAAATGGAACCTGCCTCAAAGGAATTGTAGCAATGGGTTCTTCCTCACTTTCACTGGATTGATCATTGTTGGTCACAGGGGGCATGGAATCAGATTCTCCTTCCCTTCTTCTTGGCCTAGACTTAAGGATGGCCATACAGGGTGAACAGGGGACTGTTAATGGTTCTTGGAGCAAAGAWRARCAATGGCCGTGAACAGTGGTTTGCAATGAACCCGAWTGGTGTATGAACAGTGATTAGGGGGTTTTTAAAGCTTCTAAACTTAGTCTCCAAGATTGTAGCTTCGAAAATTTAAAATTTTCACCAGGTGAATGACAGTTATCCAGGTATGATGGGGAGTAGTCAGAAATCGTACCTTCCTTAACAAATGCCAGTTCAATGAAGTCCTTTCCTTCTTGAGAATGGTTATTTGATGAGATATGGCTGATGTTCTTGGTATGATGGAGAAAGTACAGTGATGGAAGTCTTGCCCGAGTTGAGAGGTTGAAGACGAAAGGGCAGTCACCGGTCGTGGTCTGGTACGAATGCACGGGATCGTTGACAGTCTGTACCAATCGTGGGCTTCGATGTTAGGCCTCTTTCGCGTGGGCTTGTAATTTGGGCTGCATGAAACACATGCTTCCATGAGTGATGATGGGCTTTATCTTCGCGGCCCTTCTAAACACAGAACTTACCTTGGGCCTCCCTCCTCGTGGTCTGTTAACAATAAACATGTTTGGGCTTAGCTTGTCTTTGGCCAGGCCTGGTGATTTAAGAGATTGAGCTGGCTGTTGAGAGCAAATCCCGGCCCAAAGATAATTAAAACAAAATCCAAACTTTTTAATATAAACCTAATATATTACATATTATTAAAGAAATAGATAATTATTCTAGAATAAAGGAAAATAAAATAAAATTTTATCTAAAAATTAGAAATAAAAATGCAAAATAAAATAATATCTTATAAGTATATTTATAAAGACTAATATTTACACTAAATTACTATTTTCAATAGGTTGCGTAACAATCATGGACTCAAAGAAAGGTTTTACCCTTTGTCCATTCACTTTGAAAGTGGTACCCCTCTCTGGATCCATCAGGTCAATAACTCCGTAGGGGTATACTTTGGCAACAACAAAAGGTCCGGTCCATCGGGAATTCAACTTTTCCGGAAATAACTTTAACCTTTAATTGAACAACAGAACTTTTTGGCCTTTCTGTGAACTCTTTTGGAAGAATCTTTTTATCATGCCATTTCTTGGTATTTTCTTTGTATAACTTAGCATTTTCATAGGAAAAATTCATATGCTCTTCCAATTCACAAAGTTGCAAAGTCCTTTTTCTTCCGGCCTCATCTAAACTCATGTTCAGTTCCTTAATGGCCCAATAGGCTTTGTGCTCTAATTTCACAAGTAAATGACAAGCTTTTCCAAAGACCAATTTATAGGGAGACATACCAATAGGGGTTTTGTAAGCAGTCCGATAGGCCCATAAAGAATCACCTAATTTAGAGGCCCAATCCTTTCTATGTGGCTTGACTACTTTAGCTAAAATCCCTTTTATCTCCCTATTTGACAATTCAGCTAATCCATTGGTCCGAGGATGGTAGGTCACGTTTGGTTTGAAGGAATGAAATGGATTTGGGGGAATTTACATTTCAAATCTATTTCAATCTCATGTTTGGCTTGTTGGATTATCCGTATTTGAAATCCTAAGATTTAATTGAAATCCTTCAAACATGAAATTTTGAAATCTTGAGGGAGTGGTCGGGATTTTCTAGAATTGTATACAATAAGGTTTTAAAAAATGTTAAAAACATTTGTTTTGTAATAATTAATTAATAAAAATGCAATTCAACTATTTATAAATATTTTTAAATAATAAAATTTAATTCAATTCCAAATCCTGAAACAAAACACCAATAATTTAAAATACATTGCATTCGTAAAAATTGACAAATGCTATTTTTGGGCATGATTTTTTAAGTAAGCCAAATAGTTTTATCTTCTTCTCCTCATCCCCAATCCAAACACACACTCCTCTCAATTCTTTGTTGGTACCTACGTACTATGATTCAAATTCAATGGCTTCTTCCTCCGCAACCACTCACTTCTATCCACCACCACCACCACCACCACCACCGACGGAGTGTTGTATTCTTCTCCCACCGACGGTCTCCACCACCTAAACACTCCTCCCCTGTTACCTTCTCCAATGCTTCAAGAAAGTATTTTGGGTTTCGAGCGTGTAATTGTGTCAGCAGTGAGAGTATTAGTGAAGAATCAAAGGAGGTTGTTAAGGTTAGGCAATATCCATTTCACGAAATTGAGCCTCGGTGGCAGAAATTTTGGGATGCGAATCGAACGTTCCGTACACCTGATGATGATGAAATTGACACCTCTAAACCTAAGTTTTACGTGCTTGATATGTTCCCTTATCCAAGGTATGTTAATCGATTTAAGAATGACGACACTTTTGAAAGATTCATTCCCATGACAATTTATCCTTCCTGTATCCTGCTAATTCAATACTTTTGTTGGACACTTTTTGCAAATTTTCTGTAAAGCAAATGCTCAGATATTTGATTATGGAAAAGTTCGTTTCTCTAATTTTTTTATTCAGTTTTGGGATTATATGAATTTAGTTAAATCTACAGGGATAAGTAAAACGGTACTGCATTGAACTATAGTAAACAGCCAACAAAATTAGTTTGACTTTTGAGGCAAGTTGACTGATTTCATCTCACACTTGATATGAATAAGATATAGTATTGTATAAAGAAACTGATAAGCTCTATGAAATGCCATAGGAAGTACTTGAAATAGAACTTATTGTTAAATTTCTAACGAAGTCCATTTTAATTCCAAAGCAGGGAACCCATAAGTTTGCCAGCAGAAGATAACACACGTCTTGTTAATTTTATTTGAGCAGAGGGAGTTGCTGATCTTGTGTCATATGTTGATTTATGATGGGTGCTTGCCATTAGCTTAGAAATGTATAATTTCCAAGACCAAAAATTTCTCTAGAAAAGATAAAGAAACAGGTTTCTCTATTTGCTGCTTCAACTAGTAGTGTCTGTCACATGTGCATAAGTTCTGCTAATATGCATATAGAAAACCATTAAGCTGTCTTTTGCGTCATCAATGTTGCGGCTATTTTTTTGTTGGATGTCCCATGAAAATCGCAACATTTCCTTTTTCTGGTAAGATTTTAATCTAAATTACTCACATGCCACTTGTCATCAAAGTGTTGATGCTATTGATTTAGGTCCAAAAGATTCTATATTCTTGATCGCTCTCAAGATCAGTTGTTGGTTAGTTATATGCCAGTATAGGCCAGTATCGGTCCTTAGTTTCTGTCTTATCTTTGTTGCAGTGGAGCTGGTTTACATGTTGGTCATCCTCTTGGATACACGGCCACCGACATTCTTGCTAGATTTAAACGGATGCAAGGTTTCAATGTTCTGCATCCAATGGGATGGGATGCATTTGGGTTGCCTGCTGAGCAGTATGCCATTGAGGTGATGTTCTTTTAAACGAATAATTTTGCAACTTGCCACATTTTTATTATTCTCTCATGAAGGTTATATTTTCAAGAACATGTTATAAAGGTTGTTAAAGGTCGTTGCTTGATGTTTTCCAGACAGGTACTCACCCAAAGATCACAACCATAAGGAACATTGACCGCTTCCGTACTCAGGTAACTCACTCTTAACTTCCATCGATTTTATCGACTTCTATGATTCACCTAGCTTTTCCCCTATTTGGCAAAGAGGGCGATTCCACAACTTGATCCCATGACCTGTTAGATCAATATAGACATATACACCCACATAGCATGTTATTATATGATATATGTCCAACTTCTCAGGCCCACATGCTTCATTATATACACTTGTTTGCACATGGTTTTCTTGTTTTTTTATTTGTGTAAATTCTTAATCTTCTGTCTTGTTTTTTGGGCATTTACGTATTGATGAGAACTCACTCTATGTATAGCATTACTGTTTTTCTTTGGGCATCTATGTATAACTTTTCAAGGTTTTAGTTTTGTCAATGCATTGATATCCATGTTTTGATTTTCAGCTTAAATCTCTAGGTTTCTCATTTGATTGGGATCGTGAAATTTCCACAACAGAACCAGACTATTATAAATGGACGCAATGGATCTTTCTGCAGCTTCTGAAGAAAGGACTGGCATATCAGGTCAGGACAAGATTTTGTCCAAGATTATCATTCATGGTTTTACGAGGAACTAAAAATTTACTTATCATGTTCTTTCATGCATGATTTAGGCTGAGGTACCGGTCAACTGGTGTCCGGCACTTGGCACTGTGTTGGCAAATGAAGAAGTAGTGGATGGTGTGAGTGAGCGCGGTGGTCATCCGGTTATAAGAAAGGTATGCTGGTGGTCTGGTTTGTGATATTTTTTATCGTCGGACTTTTGAAACTTTTCTTATGCCTCTTTATTGGATGTTTCGTAATTTTACAGTTCATTGTTTATGACCAAGCAGCCGATGCGGCAATGGATGCTCAAGATAACTGCATTTGCAGACCGCCTTCTTGAAGATTTGGATGATCTTGATTGGCCTGAGAGTATTAAGGAAATGCAGAGAAATTGGATAGGAAAATCGGAAGGGGCAGAGGTGGAGTTTTGTGTTTTAAGTAGAGATGGTCAAGATACAGATAAAAAAATTATTGTTTATACGACAAGGCCAGATACCATATTTGGAGTAACGTATTATCTTTGTGCTCCTTGCTCTTGATTTTTGTTCATTTTATTGAATATAAATGAAACTATTCTCATTACTTGATCTTACTATGCAGTTATCTGGTTCTAGCACCAGAGCATTCGTTGTTGTTGTCTGTGGTATCCGAGACCCAACAAAATATCGTATACTCATATCCCCTTTTCCTTTTGTGTCATACAGTTTTGGCTTTATGTAGTTATAAATCTTTAGAGGAGAAATTATCTTGATTACAGGTGGAAGAATACAAAGAGGTTGCATCTAGAAAGAGTGATCTTGAGCGAACAGAGCTTCAGAAGGAAAAGTCTGGAGTCTTTAGTGGCTGTTATGCTAGAAATCCAGTAAATGGGGAAGCTATCCCAATATGGGTTGCTGATTATGTTTTAGGGAGGTGGGTTTGCCTTTGTATTTATTTATTATCTTGTTAATACTCTTTCGTAGTTCTGGGTTGATCAATGTTTTTTTCAGCTATGGCACCGGGGCAATAATGGCTGTCCCTGCTCATGATACACGTGACCATGAGTTTGCGTTAAAGTATAATATCCCGATACACTGGGTGGTAACTTCAGATGAACGCTCTGATGATTTTGAAAAGCCTTATGCTGGAGAAGGTGACGTGATAAATTCATCAAGTTCTACATCAGGGCTCAACATCAATGGATTACGTAGTAAAGAAGCTGCTGCTAAAGTCATCGAATGGGTCGAGAGGACTGGAAACGGGAATAGAAAGGTTTTCTTCTTTTGTTATGTGTTTTGTTTTTTTAGTTATATGGTTCTTTTATCAACCATGTGAGACAAAACGAGTATCTACCAACATTCAAATTATATATTCTTTTTCTCTTTCACTTCTTGGTGAAAATAATGTGCACATTAGATTTCATAAGTATTACAAGCGGAAAGTTGTGGTGTTAAATTTTGCAACAAATATCTATAATTTTATGACTTAAAAAATGGTTTGAACCCTAAGAAGTCTATAGGGACATCTTCTTCTGGAACAGAGAGGTATTATTGTATTTTACTTTCTCTGTCCCATCTAAGGTGAATCATTTCCTTTTTTGGTAATTTTGCAAGTTATAATTACCTATCTACCCATTGTAGTAATTACAAAAAATGATCATTGTTCTCTAAAGCTATGTGTCCATTTAGCTGGACAAAGGGAGTGCATTTTGTGGCTAACTTGTGAACGTGTTTCAAGATGCTTGTTGGGTACTTATATGTCAAATTTTGTTCTTTCAGGTGAATTACAAGCTGAGAGACTGGCTTTTTGCTAGGCAACGTTATTGGGGAGAACCAATTCCTGTTGTATTCTTGGATGATAACGGTGAAATTGTTCCGATTCCTGAAACTGAACTTCCACTTACCCTTCCTGAGCTTGATGATTTCACTCCAACTGGTACAGGGGATCCCCCACTTTCAAAAGCGGTGTCTTGGGTACCCTTTTCATCTCTTGTTGATTTGTTTACGTTGGGTATAAATATGACCCTATTTGTTCGGGCCATTTAACGTTTCATTTTATGGGTCTGATTTACTGATGAAAATGTTCCATTAAGGAGATGCAAAGATGGCATTTTGATCAATAATCACACACACATAATAGTCATCTCAAGGAACGGAAAAACTGAAGATGGTATTTCACATGGTTCAACAGTTTTTCTACATTTACATGTTGCTAGGATTTAATTATATTCTGTGATAGTAGCAATCATGTATTGATGGAAGATGAGACCTTTTTAAAAAGCAGACAGCAGATGGATAAGTAGCTATTCAGTCAACGAAATTGTAAAGCATGTTTTTTTGTTTTCCTAAATGATTGTTGAATAGCAACTAAACTCAATTGCATCCCATATTAAACTAAACAATGGACTCGATGTATAAAAATTATAGCTTTTTCAAAGGATACTTAATCTTTTGTTGCTGTGAAGGTTTATAGCTAGTCATGTGTTTACTCGTTTTCCACTCTGATATTTGTTAGTTTGATTCCATTTGCTGGTTTTCAGGTTAAGACTGTAGAATCTTCTTCTGGAAAGCCATCTAGGCGTGAAACTAACACTATGCCGCAATGGGCTGGTTCTTGCTGGTAATTTTTTTTTGTTGCTATCCTAAAAGCAAACTAATACTACAAGAATATGTCATAAATCAACCCAAACCCTAACAACGAGGATTGATTAAACTATCCCTACACAAATATATCATTGCAAAATTACATTTCATTATTTGGAAAGATTTCAACGTAAAGTCACTTATTTGCCTATTTCTGATATTATAAATTACCATACCATTGATATTGGTCCATAAGAAGCCTTACTTTTTGTTGTTATCCAAGTGTATTTTAGGCATTTGACTAATAGTCAGTGTACTTCCATTAGAACCTTGTCGTTTTCATATGACACAGGAAGTAGCTAATAACCTTTGAATGGCATCTCTCTTCAAATTACATCATTAATCATCGTAGATTGTATACTCATGTGCAGGTACTATTTAAGATTTATGGATCCTAAAAATTCAACGCAGTTGGTTGACAAGAAAAAAGAAAAGTAAGATCAATCTTTTCTTGCCGAAAATTTTCTGTTTTTAAATGTTCTTTTGCCATAAGAGAATTTGGGAAATTCTTTATAATCAAATCAAATACAGCATTTTTATTGTGGGAAACTGCAGGTACTGGAGTCCAGTTGATGTCTATGTTGGTGGTGCTGAACATGCTGTTCTTCACTTGCTCTACTCAAGGTTTTGGCACAAGGTTTGTAGGAGAAAAGCTAATCCCTTTGCCCCATGAAAATTGATAATGTTTTTTTAGAAAGCTATTAGGTTAATATTACCTATATATACCTGTTGCTATTGTCACAAACTAATTAATAATATTGATTTGGATTCATTTGTTTTGCTTTATTCAGGGCTATTTCAGATATTTCATACATAGTCAAACTCTTGCTTTAAACTATGTATATCCTTCTAATGTTTCATTGCTGACTTTTTGCATTCACCATTCAGGTTCTCTATGATATTGGAGTTGTGTCGACAAAAGAGCCGTTTAAATGTGTCATAAACCAAGGGATCATCCTCGGAGAAGTAAGTAAAACCTGCTTGGTCAACATGTTGACTTTTAGCGTTTGTGGTTCTTAACGAGACAGATTACAGGTACAATACATGGCTTGCAAAGATCAAAATGGGAATTTTGTGTCTGCAGATTCTGTTGATGTACTAGGGGAGTATAAGCAAGAAAGGATACCGGAGGAAGAAGTATGCACTTCTTATCTTGTCCATTCCATGAATATCACAGTATTTACTTTTTGGAAGTGTTCATGTTAAAATCACGTATCTACCGATTAACATCATCATAAGTAAACCGATGCTATTGAATTTCTGTACTTTGTCTTTGTTGAAGGGTATTTTACGTATTTGAGAAATGCAACATATTCACCCTGCCAAACGTTTTCCGTCTTATCAAAATCACAACATTTCTCATATTAGGGAACATTTCATGTTTTTTGAAAGTATATAATATAATATTTATATACTGGAAATACTCGTGCACACTTCTCACCTTTGATGAGACTTGAACCTTTGACCTCCAGGGAGAGGTGGTTTCTACCGGTAACCCGGGTACTGCTAGACCAATGACTCTTTGGTAAAACATTTCACGCTAGCATTACCTATTTACCCATCATGATTGCTACAAACAAGATGACACAATTGAATTAGGCCTATGAGGATCCTTTATCTTTCTTAACTAAAGGGCATTTCAGGGTTTGTTTTTTATAAGCAAATAATCAAACTTCTCTAAACCACACAGAAATAAACGAATTGCAATGGCAAGTTGCTGTCAACTTGGGATTTTATGATCTTGCTAATTTATATATAAAACCTTTTTTTCGTAGGTTACAAAATCCGGTAGTTCATTCGTATTGAAAGATAATCCTAGTATCCGGTTGATTGCTCGGGCACACAAGATGAGTAAAAGTAGGGGAAACGTCATTAATCCTGACGATGTTGTATCGGAGTACGGTGCAGACTCTCTTAGACTGTACGAAATGTTCATGGGCCCATTAAGGTAGCCGTGAGTCTTGAATTTTCGGTTTTGAAACCTACTTGTGGTCGTGTTGACTTTATTGACTTAAACAGCATTGCGTTTTCAGGGACTCAAAAACATGGAATACTAGTGGCATTGAAGGCGTATATCGATTTTTAGGGAGATCTTGGAGATTAATTGTTGGTTCACCGTTATCTGATGGAACATATGGGAATCAAACAGTGGCAGTTGATGAAAACCCGTCTCTAGAACAACTTAAATCCTTACATAGATGTATTGAGAAGGTAACAAACCAAGCTCGAGTCAATTGGAATTTTTATGCATCTTATTTTGAGTCCTTTGGTTAAATGACCTTTGGCAGGTTTTTTTAGTCCATGACCTTTTGACAAGTTTGAGAATGCAATTACTTAAGAAAGAATGCCACTCCTATACACAAGAATGCCTAGAAACCTGTCACCAGGTCATGGATTTAAAAAAGCAGTTGTGACGAGGTCATTCAGCTAAATAGCCCTCTTATTTTAACATGGTGTTTTATAATGGTGTAGGTGACTGATGAAATTGAAGCAACACGATTCAATACGGGTATTTCTGCGATGATGGAGTTTGTTAACATTGCATATAAGGTCTCTTCCTAATGTTTTTCTCATCGAACTACCCTTTGGGTTAATACAATTCACCACTCGCACGAGTTCTGTAGTTGTGAATAGGGGTGAGGCTTGGCTCATAGAGAAGTTGGTAGGCTTGGGCATTGGTCATGGATTCATGGCTTGCTGAGCTCCGAAAACTTGTGCTTGGTTCAGCTCGCCAAAAGCTTGAACCTTGACTCAACTGGTATAAGCTTGGTTCGTATTGGCTTGTATAAGCTTGAGCTTTGGTTGGCTTGTATTCTTTGGTTCTTATGGGCTTGCTTACGCTTGGCACGTTTGAGCTCTGATCCTATGGGATTGTTGGTATTGAAACTATGTTTTTTTGTAGGAGCCAAGATTAGTGGTTGAAAAATATAAATTCCACTAAGTTGCTTGAATAAGAGAGCCCGACTGGTTTAGGCTAAGGTCAGTAGGCAGCTCAGTTGGCTTGGTCTGGCCAAGCCTTTTGACGGGTTGGCTCACAAGCTCCTATGAGCCAGTTGTTTCGCCTTCACCCCTAGTTACAGCTAATGGGATACAACTTTGGTTTTAACGAACTCTGTGAACTACATTGTATTCGGATTGTGATTTAAAATAGCATCAAGTGTATGGCTTGAATGATATCTAGACCGTTGCCTAGATCTCGATGACATAATATTTGCTGCCAGTGGGTAGCACAGTTGGTTATAGGATGGTATATTTGTAGCATATAGATGATGGTTCAAGTTTTGCTGCTGCAGTGTGGGAGTTACAATTCCTTTGGGTGTTGAGCTCCTTGTGGTGATCGGGCTCTTAAAGCCGGCCACCTAGTGGGCCGTTGTGTACATGGGGCGGTTTGGGCCAACTCGTGGTTGTTGCACAACCATAAAAGTTAATGGTTCATTCCGGGGCAGGTGAGCCACCAGAGATTTTCCTAGCTGTTATATTCAGGTTCCCATGGGATTAGTTAAGGTGTGCCCAAACTTGTCCTGACACCCGCGGTTAACAAAAAAAAGTTGCTGGTTAAAATCCACTATGTATAACAAAATTTTGATCTCATATATTTACGTATCTTTGTCCTTTTTAGTGGGAGAAACTTCCAAAATCAATTGTCGAACCGTTCGTATTGTTGCTATCTCCATATGCACCACACATGGCCGAAGAGCTCTGGTTTCGCTTAGGACACTCGACTACTTTGGCATACGAGCCTTTCCCAAAGGTATCTTTCCATTTCTTCTCCTTTTTTCACTTCCGACAAATGAATATTAGCTTATTCTTTCAATCTATTCTCCAGGCTAACCCTGCGTACTTAAAAGACACGACCGTAACACTACCAGTTCAGATCAATGGCAGAACACGAGGCACCATACAAGTTGAAGTAACGTGCACCGAAGATGATGCTTTCAAACTGGCGTCACTTGACGAGAAACTGTCGAAATATCTCGATGGAAAAACCGTCAAGAAACGAATTTACGTTTCTGGGAAGATTTTGAACGTAATTTTGGAGCGCGAAAGCACCAAAGTGGTTTCCCGATAACGATGTTCAGTAGTCTTGCATTTCATTTTTTTATGATTCAAGAATGAATGTCACCAAAGTCGTTTCTTGATGAGGGTTTTTGTTGCATGTCGGTTCTGATATTTTAGAGGCCTTGTACGAAAATTTAAACACGTGTATAATTTGTTTTCCCCGACATATTATTAATAAAACTGGCTTTAAAAGAATAAAACTCTTAATTTTTAACCTTTTTCGGGATAAATATCAGTATTCAAAAAGACGTAAGACGTATCTCTGACGTTACAATAAGGCTTATTATAGCGCAAGACGTGTTTCTGACGTTACGATAAGGCTCATGGCATTTGTGTAAGGTGTGGCTTGTGCCATAGCGCATTGAGGCGTGCCATAGCGTATCGTGCGTTTTTCACTAGACAAGAATTTTTTTAAATTTTTAAAATTTTAATTTTTGGGTTTTACATCTTTAAAATTTTATATTTTTTCAAACTAGTTAATCATATCACTTACAGTTTATTGGATTCATACATGTTACGGACTCGCATTTAAAACGAATTTGTAAAACCTTTCCGAAGTTCTATTTTAAATATCCGATCACAAACTTTTTATCTAATACTAACTAATTTATATTAATGTAAAAAATTTCATATCATTATATTATTGAATAATAAATAGAACGCACACACACACACATACACATACACATTTTCCGGCTTATGTTATGCCTTAAAAAACGTTGTGTCTTCGTCGTGGCGTATAAGAATTAAGGCTTGAGGTTGCCTCCACGCCACACCTCTAAGGGGCCGTTTACCTAAACACTTACCCGGTAAGCACTTAACGGTAAAATTCAACTCTATATCTTATTTATCGGGCAAGATTTTAGTCTAACAAAACGACATCATTTGTAACAATTTACTCGGTAAGCGCTGACCGTGGTAAGAGTCGTCGTCATCACTTACCGGGTAAGACTTTTTGTTCGTGTCTTCGCTCTTACCAGGTGAGATTCTTGATCCTTGTCATATTCATGCGGTAAGAGAATATGACTTGATAAGTGTTTACCCGAGTAAGCATTTGGTAAACGGCCCCTAAGCCATTTTAAACCTTTATTCTGACTTATTAAAATGCATTGATGCAGATCAAACATATAAAAATTCCGAAGTCTGACCCCATATGGGTCCCTCTCCACAATACCAATGTTCGGAGTCCAACTCTTAAGAGTTCATCTCCGCAATACCGAGAAGGCTATATTGCTTACTCAAGCACTGGTCCCAAATGAGAACATTAGAGCTCCTCACTTACAAAACGACTGATTCACATGCCTATGGATCCATTGCAGTACAATATAAATTACATGATTCCAATTGAATGACCAACACGCTCAGAACATGTAATCCTCAAATGAAGATGCAATAAATATGCCCAGGTTCAATATTGAGAAATGTAAACCAGACATATGTCCCCAAAACTCAAATGAGTCAAAATGAAGCCAATAACTCCACAATTATTTGACTACTCAACTAAAAGTCAACATAAGCAATATAGACGCATTTAACCCATGTTTATGTAAACACATGCTTCAAAAATATAATTAACTCAAAACCCCGGTTGAGACAAATTATTTTCCAAATGAAACCATATATTTTATATTTCCAACATGCCTCATAATACAACATGGTACATTTTCCAAATAGTTTATAAAACCAAATACAATTAAAGTGCAATACTGTAAAATAATATTCATTTATACCTTAAATCATCAAATGGACAAACTGTTATGATTTATTTATCAAAATGTCCAAAAACCTCAAATATAGGTATTTCACAAGATTTATAGAATCAAATGCACCAAAGATATAAATCCACCAGATAATCAATGCATTTGATAAATATCAAGAAAATATCTTAAGACTCCACAATGGACATTTTTAACATGTATATAGTTTTTACAAAGTTATTGAAATCACCTTGTTAGGTTAGATTAAACCTAGTTTCCAAACACATTTCTAGCTTCCAAAAGGTGAAAACTTGAATCCACAAGTTTATCCTCCCAGTAACTTCTCAAGGTCACTTTTCATGGCTCATCAAGTTCTTGAAACCACCCACCATAGATCTTCAAAATCTAAGGTTCTCCTCTCCATGCATTTGCTCAAAAAATGTCCCAAAAACGCCAAAATCTCCAAGAAACAGAGGGGAGAGAAGATGGAAGAAATGGGTGAAAACCCCTAAAAATCGGGCTTAAAAGATATTGCAGGCAACCTTTCCTATGACCAAAGTCGGGAACAGGTCGCCTGTGTTAAAAAATGTGCCAAATAGATGTTCCAGTAGCTCAAGTCATGGGCTGTGCTGCATTGTGTCATCTGACCTCAATCGTTCTCCCGACCGTTTTCCTAGAAGTTTTCCAGGCCGTTCTCTAATTGTTCTCCCAGTCGTTCTCCGACTGTTCTCCTGGCCATTCTCCCGACCGTTCTCCTTGCCGTCCTTAAAAAAATTACTGGTATTACAATCCTCCCAACCTTAAAAGAGATTTCATCCTCGAAAGCTAGCACCAATCTAACTGTCAAACATACCGCCTTAACAGATTCCCTCGATTGTAACACCACAATCAAACTCAAACAGTCAAACTTGGGTACCATACATCACTCTTAAGCGTGAGCATGAAGTGTCTACGATTATTAGTAGTACTTCAATTAACTTTGAGTCACTCTTACCATTCCGAAAATAGCTCCTGGCGTTAACAACTTACTTGTATAGCACCGATCAATTTTTATTCTCTTTTAGCAACCATCTTTCGAACTATGTTTATACTTTTGTATTGCATTCAAAACTACAATGATATTTTTCAAAAGTTGATCCGGCTCCTTTCAAAATAGAGTACCTACCTACTACCATGTTGACTTTACCCATGAGCCTGAATAAGCAAGCATTCCTGAATAGATCACATGCTACTACTACTACTGAGTTTATTATATTTATAACCTTGACTATTTAAAGTCTTCTCAATGGAGTGACATTTCTACTATTTAAAATCTGGATCCGTAATCTAAACAATGAGTATCTGAACACTAACATGAATACCAGTCAAAAGACACTAATCCTTGACTACAAAAATCTAGTCACTTTAGAGTTACCACTTACCTTGCAAACGCTTCTTCAAGAACCATTGGTCGGGTTTTGCACGGACCTAATTTTATTAGAACCATACCTATTTTACTATTCCCTATGCATACAAAAGGATAAGTTATGTTAAAAAACGTCTACATCATATCTTCAACATATTCAAAGGCTGAAATGAAGAGTATAAACATGCACTAATCAACAAATCAGATGAAAACACACGTTCAAGTTGGATAACCACACTTAATGCAATGATGGGTATAAAAGACGACATTTGTCAAATGATGCAACTCACCTATTTTGAAGGAATTATGAGTGATAGTTTCTTGGGAAAATCGGCATCAAATCTGAAAGAGTACCTTCACCTACTTCTCTTTCAGTCTTTAGCAAATTTGTCATGATCCAGATTGTTTAGGATCAAGTCTTACCTCCCTAGCTTCCGCAACAAATATGTAATTCTTTGTTTTTATAAACATACAAAATTAAAAAGTGAAAATATGTTGTATTTGTATTCATCCCCCTTCTACAAAGACTTTTTGTGTTAGTCATTATCATTTCAGGACCAACAAGTGGTATAAGAGTAATTTGTTTAGATTTCTAGTATGTAATTATTTCCATGAATAATGACAATGGCACTCTAGTCTGTAATTATTTCAACTGCAAGAGACATGTGAAATACTCTTACTGTTCAATATGAAGGCACATCTGATATAAAGTATAGTAAAAAGATCAACCTTATCAGACAATGTGAACTGTTCGTATGTAGTAAATACACATATCTTATAGCTGTATACAATAAGTTCACTTATTTCTTGGATAATCCTAGTGTAGTTGRGGAATAATTCCATCCTAATATAGGTGAGGAACAAATAGATGGGATGGTAGAAGATGATAGTGAAAAAGAATGTGAACAAGATGATGATGAGGAAGAATGTGAACATRATGATAGTGAGGATGTTGATTACATGGTTGATAAGACCTATGAAATGGAGGAAGTTGATGTTAACATGAAAAACTTCAATTGAATCATAGATTGGGATGCCAATCACCATAAATCAAAATCGACCATTTCCCCGGTAAATCAATATTGATCACTTTCTTATTACAAACAATACTTGCTTGATTTTCTGCTAACCAATCCATGCCCACCACAACATCAAATTCTCTCATCGGCGTTGGAAACAAATGAAATGGTAACTCACACCCCTCAACCTCTATTTGACAATTATCAAAAACACGGGTAACAGATACTTGACTATTATTAGCAGTATCAACTACTAAAGTATAGTTAAGTGGCACAAAGTTAACGAATAAACACCTCGCAAATAAAGGTGATACAAATGAATAATTAGCACCAGAATCAAATAACATCTTGGCATATACGTAGTTGATAAGAAAGGTACCTGTTACCATATCAAGGGTTTCCTCTGCCTCTCCTTTTGTAATCTGAAAAGATCGGCCCTATCCAACTCACTTCTTCGGATGTTGACTCCCACGAGCGTACTTAAAGTATTTCCACCCAAAGTTAGTCTTGGAGTCTTTAACTGAAGACAATCTGGTTTGATATGGTCAGGGGAATTACAATGAAAACATCATTGAGGAATCCGACAAATTATGGAAAGTGTCTCGGCTCCCACATCTATAGCACTTCCTCTATTCAAAATTACAGTCACCTTGATAAACATGGTGACATCTCTGGCATGGTCTTTCACTAAATCATTTGGCAGGACAATTTTCTGTCTTTACAAATTTTGGTCTTATATATTATGTTAAAGACCCTTCCCATTTTCTCTTCTCAACCACCTTCTCCCTGCATGTTCTTGTTCCTTTATGTTATTTTGGCAACATCTACCACCAGTGAAAAAGTTGAAGATTCATTGCAATCACGAACTTTCGTATCAAAGGCTTTAACCCCGAGATGTAACTCTTGACTTTACGAGAATCTGATGAAATATAGTTCTCTGCAAATCGGGAGTGTTCGATAATTTTTTTAGTCTACTCTCGTATCGTTTGATTACCTTGTTCTAGCCTTAAAAATCCTTCTTCTAGTTGTCTAACACTCGCTTTCGAACAAAATTGCTCTTTA